TTGAAGTACATGTATGGAATGCTAATATAATTTGCGATAGAAATATTAGAACTTCGTTATCAGTCGTTATGAATAATCATGAGTTTAAATTCGGAAAAATTTCGCAGAAATGTTTGAAAATGTAAATTTGATTGAATAAATTAGAGTTAGAATTGTCAAAATCTTTATTCATAATATTTAAAATAAAAAAAAAATAATATTTTAGTAAATAAATAATGTTGGAAATAATCGATGATAAATATTAATATTTTAAAATTACGCCATTTTAAAATTATTTGTGTCACCCAGCTCCAACAGGAAAAATAAAAATAATAGATAGAAATAGCATTTTAACAATACAATTTTTGGACGTGTAGTAAAACAGAAAAGATTACAAATCATCATATTTATATAGTATAGTAATAAAAAGGAAGCTAGAAATAAATTTTGAAAGATGAATTTACGTCAAAATTGATGAGAAAATGATCGTTACACGAGATAAATCTTCGTTTGTTTTTCACGTGGATTTCTTTAGACGAGAACACTGAATTGCAATAAAGACTTATTGTTTTCGAATGGACATCGTCTACCGGAGTTTTTACGAAATTTTACGGAACTGGATTGACACTGTCGTTCATCTAAATAAAGAAAACAAAAGTTTTTCATCAAGTCTGATTGTCCCATTGATACAATTGTTCAGCAATAAAAGATTTTAATCACGACTGATTTAGCTGGTGTCGAATCAATCGTAAAATGTTCCCTTCCAATGACATTTCGTATTGTTATTATTGCTCGTGCGTTTGATTTAAATGATATTTTTTTGACATTCTAAAAATTATCCTTATAATTTAATAGGAAAGATTGAAATCTATTTTCAATCTATTTAAATTATTCAATATAAGATAACATTTATAAATTTATAAAATAGAATTTTTTTTAAGTTCATTTCATTAATTTTTTATATTTTTCTGTCTAGAATAAAAGTTAATGTTAATCTTAATGTTAATTAAATTTACATTCAAATATTTCGTATTTTATATTTGATTAAAAAAATTATTAATTATTAATATATATTAATTCTATTTTATGAATTTATATAGATGACGTTTAATCTTAAAGGTAAAGTTATCGAAATATTTACTTTATGAAGTAGGGCATTCGTCTGTGAAGAAGCATTTCTCAATTAAACGAAATAATGAATTTATAAATGGAATTAATTTCATTTTATTTTATCATTTCATGTTCATTCATCTTAAACGAAGGAGTCTTTGAGACGATAAATTGTTATTTATTTAGAAAATCGATCATCCTTATACGTTAATTCCATCTTTCCAGTGTAATAGATTAAAAAAAGTCTTCACACCAATTCTGCATCACTGTCAGGTATTGAAAGTCATAACTTCACAATTCTTTATGACCTACATGCTTGAAATCTCGACAGTAGCATGTAATAAATAACACGACAAAAAGTTTGAATTGCATTCTTCGTATGCAGTTCTGGTTCTTTACCAGATTTAAAAATGTCAAATTTCATGCGTATCAAAAGAATTATTCAAGTGTTTCTTTTAAATTTATTTTATTCTTTGGCAAAAAAAAAAAAAAGAGAAAAAATTGTAACTAATAATTTTTAAAAATTTTTGATATTATCTACCAAGTTTTTTTATTTTATCGTGTTTTACTTTTTATATTCTGTCATTCTATTTAATCCTCTTATGGTTTTCTACTTTTCTGCGATCGTTTCATCTTTCATTTCCTAATTTTTAAAGTAGGAAACCCTTATTCTAAATCTTGTTTTCGCGTCTTTTTCAATCTAACTATACAATCGTTTAAAAAATTTCTTTTAAAAACAGAAAGAAATTTTCTTTATAACTAAATTTTAAAATATTTTTCGATTAAAAATATATTTTTAGTAATTTTTTCATCCACATTAAATTTAATAAATAGCCTTTTTTTCATAGGGTTAGTAAACTAGTAATTGAAAAAAGAAATTTTAAATTTATAAAATATTATATTTTTCATTTTTTCATTCAATATTAGATTTGATAAATAAATTTCCAAGAAGAATAATAAATTTCCTAAAAAAAGCTTTCAATATTCATAATCAAATAGATTTTCAAAAATTCTTTAATATTGTTTCCATAATTTATATTTTATGTTTAGTTAAAAGTAAATCTTTTAATTAAGTAGGGCATTGTTACGATTTTTTCGAAAAATTGCATTTAAATTCTTTTATAATCTTCATTAACATTTATAATATCGCATTTAAAAATTAGATTAAAAATAATTACCGCGAAATAATTATCGATATATTATATATCGACAGCCTTTGGATTAACAAGAATGAGTCATGGTGACGACTTCCGTTGATTTGTATAACAATTCTATCACGAGAGTTTAATCTTTCGGCTGTAAGAATGAATGGTGAATGTGAAAACACAAGATTGGGAGCGCGAATGATGAACTCCCGTTATAGAATTCTGATTACAGCAACGAGACTGGCGGAAAAGAGGAGGCTTGTTTCCCTATCGGTTCGAGTATACACGTCATATCCGCTTTTGAATATCTGTTCCTTCGTTTCAGATTATTTAACGAATTAATTTTTCATTAGAACGATAATTTTTATCGCGTTTTTATTAAACTTGTCGAATCGGTTTTCATTCATTAATGAATGATGAATGATTGGCATAGTAATTGATCTGTTAAAACGATATTTTAATATTGTATGTGAAAATTAAGCTTTGTATATAAGCTTTTGAAAATTAAATTTTTTTTAAAAAATAGTTCTTTAATGTTAAATTATTTTTAAATTATTATTTGGCGATAAAATATGCCAAAATTATTTTTTAGATAAGTAATTTTGATATTTTTTAATAATGTTTTAGTAATTAATAAGGAAGAAAGTTTTATGTTACGATATTATATAATTTTTCTTGAACTTTTGGTAATTCATTATGTTGATGAATTAGAATAGATTGAAAATTCCAAATAGAAAATAAAAATTTCAAAGAAACAAACTTCAGTAAATTAGAATTGATGGTTAAATCGTATGTGTTGTCGATTTGCATATACGCAGAATTATCGAACAATGTTTCTTTGATGTCAGTTCTTTGAATTATCAGCATTCTCCATTTTAACGTTTGACAGACAGTTTTGATTCACACATGCAAAGTGGTTGCGAAGTAGCGCAAAGAACAGACCAAATGTTATTATATGGCGCCTATGGTTTTATTGTTATTATTCGATTACTGCTCTCACATTGGAACAGCGCAATAATTATTTCATCACATGTTTTCCTTTGATTGTTCTGTCAATACATATTGACTTCAAAGTGCATTTTATAACGATGCAAATCCAATTATTAATTTTAATTTAATATTCTAAAAATTTGATTCAAACAATTATTTTTAGAATATTTCAATTTTGGAATTCACTCAAACATTTTAATTTTAAATTTTAAAATGGTAAATTGTAAAGAGAATGATATAGCTCCATTAAATGAACGTTTTTCCTATTATATTTGAAATAAAATTGTTATCATTCATAAAAATAATTGTGCGAATATTTAATTTTGATTTGAAATTTTGTAATATAACCTATTAAGATTTTTATAATAATTTTAGTAACGTTTCTTCGTATTTCATGCCATCTAAGGTTTTCATGCATACATTACTAGTCAAAAGTTTGAAGCTACTTACTTACTTAATGAGAAGGAACTTGAATTTTATAATGAAAAAATCAGAGACGAGAACTTTTATTTAAGTTTTAATACAATACTCTCAAATCCTCTTATTAAGTCCTTTTATCTCCTTTTATTATTATTTGCAAAAGGAAAAATATGTATCATGTTAATACCATAAAAAGTCTACAAATATTTAGTGAGCTATATTGTTCTCTTATTTCGTTTTGTTTCATAAATCCTGAATATTAGAAGTGATCTCAAACTTTTAAGAGGTAATATCATCCTGTTAATATTCCAATTTCATTACGAATAAAATGATTCATTCTTATTAATTAAGTAAGCATTACGGTTGTCATCTACTTATAGATGCTTATATGTGTCACGAATCATTAAGTACTTATAATGATAATATAATAAATATCTTAATAACATTATTGTAATTAGAAATATCTTTATGATAGTTAAAATTAACAATTATAATAACAATAAATATTAACGATTATAAAATTCTCATTAACTTCTTAGTCGTATCTCACTTTTGCATTTATCAATGATTGATTTATTTTTGTTGTTAAAGTAAGCAGTTCACAATAATGCACTGTTAGCTAACCGCAGTTATCATCACTAATTCTTTGAATTGCATTTATTTTAATCTGTTAGGGGTCAACTATGTATTAACACGAAGTGATGATTAGTAATTTTTTTTTTCAATCAATTTATGTTATGATATATTTTGTTTTTTTTTTTTTAAACATTGTTCATAGGAAATAACTTTTGTTTCCTTTTTTTGTCTAGGTTGTACAATATTGGAAGAGTAGGAAATTCTTGAAATGAATCAAATCTATTAAATACTATCGTTTTTTTTTCGATCCAATCGTATTTTTCTTTCGTTAGAAAAATTTCTTAGGTTTGGAAACATTTAAGAATTATTATTATTCATAAATAATAAAAGAGCAATATTAATAAATCACTTTAATAAATATCAGATTAATAACAAATCCAAAATTATAAAATAGAATTAAGAATTTTTTATATATCCGATTGGTTCATAAAAAATCCAGACTATAATAATTTTAAAGATAAAATACATTATTATCACAATATCTCTTTTAACGAGTTAATCCAAAACCAATGCAATAAAATTATCATTCCATTTCCTTCTTATAATTAACATACACACAAATATCAACGAAGCTCACCAAACATATAGTGGTTACATACTATAACCAATACCATCGATTTCCCATCGATCCAGGATATCTCGCTTAATTCCTTCCAATTCCCAAAGCAATCCGGAAAAACGATAAAAACAAAAGGAAAAAAAAAAGGAAAAGAGGAGAGAGAAAGTACGAAAACGTGTGGTGCAATTTCGTCGCGGTGGCGGTTTCACTAAAACGGATTTAGCCGGCGGCCGCAAGATGGCGACGCATTGCCCGGCGCCGGGCGTCGTGCCGGTGGCAGTCGCAAGGACGACGCCGTCGCCGCCACGTGGGGAGCGAATTTGAATCGGCCGCCACCGGCTCTTAGCTTCGTCGTAGGCTCCAAGTCACACAGACCTCGCTCGTTCACCACCACGTAACAATCATCACTTTCGTCCCGCTTCATCCGACCATTGATATTTCACTGTTGTCAAACATTCTGACTCCAACTCGTGAACCGGCAGAATGTAAAGCTTGTATATCCGTAGTGAGAACGGTTTACCACTTGTTATTCGTACTGTTACCGAAGCGGGAGAGGAAAACATCTGGAGAAAGAAAGAGACGGGCTTACGTGTATAGCGGTGGAAGAGAGAGAAAAAGACTAGATCAGCGTGACGAAGTCTAGTACACGACATTGTGCCAGCAGCCGTGGAGTAGGAGGAGGTTAGGAGGGAGAAAAATCGAGAAGGAAGCGGCAAGTGTCACGAAGGGACTGTTGTCAGTGAGTGGTGGACCGTGGAGTCGATTGGGCTTGTCAGCGGTCGAGACGTGATCGAGTTTTCGAACGCGATTGGTCCCCGATTCGATCTCGTGGTAAAACGTGGAAAAAAACAATTCGATACGGAAGCGTGTCCGAAATAAGGAATCGATCGAAAGAAGAAGATCTTTGAGGCGGAAGTGCGTTGACCTTGCCTCCCGGTGCGACCTTGGAAATTGGCGCCACCGTCGGCCACTTACAGTTTGCAGTTATCGAGCTGAAATCGAGTGTGTAACACGACCTCGTTGCATTGAACTTCAACTTGAGCTTTCGATCGGTCGATTCGAGCGCGGTTCGGTAGTCGTGAAGTGATTTTTTTTCGCGAGTGTTTCAAACCCTTTCGTGTTTGGAATATTGAAGCTAGAGACGAATAAGGAAGATTTTCCAGAGAGAGATATACGCGGACGAGATTAAACCATCAAGTCGGATGGAATGACTCAATATGCGGTCTAGGTAAATAGAATAATCGTGAAAATTCTCGAAATAGATTTATTATATAGTTTAATTTGGATTATTTATTATTTCAGTTTGTTTTGAACCCTTTTGCATTTATTGAATTTAATGATATTTTGCAAATAATGATTAATATTTTTTTAATAGAAGATTTTTTTAATCAGTGAAATATTAAAAATTTAAGTTAAAAATTTCGAGATTATATATATAATCATGATATAGTGTATGTGAATATTTTTACAATATAAAATTAATTTTTTTTATAGATTATAAATTATTATAGTTGTGGCTATTTTATAATACATCGATATATTTTTATTATATCTATGTATTATAATGAATTTAAATTAATTTTTAAAATAAATTTTCATTCTTTTCATAATAAAAGGGTTCAGAATAATTTGCTTTCTATTTTCTACTAAATATAAACTAAAATAGATAATAAAGTAGATTCAATTGAGATTTCAAAAAATTTAATAAAAGATAGTGCTGTTTAATAAAACGTCAGATGTATCTTTCGCAAGTGATAAACTATTCGTTTCACTGACAAGATTTTATAAACAAGATCTTTGTTAAAACAAGATCTAACTTAATTTATTTCTATGCATTATTTGCATAAAATTGCATTGACATTTAACATTCGAGACAATTATTGATTCTCTTTTCTATAATTATCACAATCTTTTCTCATCTTGTTTCATATCGAGGTTTTTATTCTTATCATTCATAAGAGGCTTTAAAATCAAAACGAAATAAAATATGCCAAGCCTAATCCATAAATATAAATACAATCACACTTACAATTTCTAATAGGTATCTTTCTATTTACCTAAATTACAATTGAATGTCTTCGAATATATACCATAAACACGATAGTATTTACAATTTCCAACTATCTTCCTATTTACCTTTCTAACTTGCAATTAAACAACGAATCGAAGGCACGGATTATGGATCGTACGAGAGCGTACGAGCCACAGGTAGGTTTTGAAGGGATTGGAACGCCACTTGGCTGATTATGCGGTTTCTCACCACCTCGAGTTTTCAACCTTCGTCGAGGGTTGAAACGTAAGAACGTAAGAACGCGTCGTGAGTGGTTTTCACGTCATACACTCGTTACAACCAAAGTATAACCACCTTACGTGGAACGGTTCCTCGCAACGTGATGGTCGTTGGAATCGAAAGAACTGCGACGTAAGGGTAGTTTCTCGCGGTCGTTACAACCGGAAGAACCGTGAGTCGTAAAATGGGAAACGGGGTCTTGAGAAATCGTGACTCGTTCGTTTCTCTGGAAAATCGGGTTTCACAGGTATAACTCGATTTCTTATTTATACATGCATGAATGGAAGCAAAGGAAAGGCTTTCTTCGATTCGGTCATTGACCTCGAAATCGTTTTCCATCCTACCGGTTGCGTTTGCTCTTGCTGTCGCGTGTCATTGATTGTTTTGTCGCTTCGTAATTCTCGGTCTTGCGATGGAACGAGTTGCACCGGTGAAATTTTTTATTCTCTCGTTTCTCTCTTTCTTTCCGTTGACCAACCATTACCATTACCATTACCCATCGCACTTTGATCGATGTTTATGCGATTTAATTTACCTATATACGATCCGTGTTGTTGGTGTGCAATTTATAATTCGTACGGGCATGAATATGTAAATTCGTGTTTAAAGTTTGGAATGGTTGGACCGAGTTTTTCTTTTTTTTCCGATTACGCTTTGCGAAAATAAATTAATCGTTGCATGCTCGATTAAGAAATTGAGATATGTCATATATTAAAAGTTAAAATTAGTAAAAAATTAGAATAGATAAAATTTTATGACATATATTCATAATCGTTTATTTTGATTAAATGTTACTCATAAAACAAAAAATAACAAATATTCATTGTACTATAAATAAAGAAATTTAGGTAGGTGTTTTTATTAAAGATGATTTGATTAATACGAAAATGAATGTTATGTATTCATGATATTTTTATATAAATAGAAATCGGATTTATTGCAAAAAATATAGATGATTAAATTTTCAAGTAATAAGATTTCAAATTTACATTTTTTGATGATTTTAGTTGATAGTTAAAAATACATCTATATTTCTGATATAATTGGATTTATAAGATATGGATAATTGAATTTTATAGCAAACCACTTTGAGATTCAATAATAATGACTGTGGAAAAAATCTTCAGATTTAATCGTATCTTTTTTTATATCTATGTTCCTTTATTGTAATTTATGAATGAATTATAAATATTGAAACGAAGAAATAATCTTCTGTTTTTGGAACATTCATTCTCAGTCTGTTCTCAAAATCTCTATGTTCGTCCTAATGAAAATTCAATCATCTATATAATAATATTTCTCTGATCAATTTTCTTCTATCTTTTATCTATTTCATATTTTCTTTAATCTTGTATATTCATTTAATAATTTAATACAGAAAATATGGACGATTAAATGAAATCTATAAAAAAGTAATATTAATGGTCCAGGAATATTCGATATTTTAATGTTAATTAATTTTGATAAAATAATATAATAAAAATTTTTAAAATATATTCAAAATTGAGAGAATTTCTATACTTTTTTTAACAAGGTATTTCGGAGTTGATTTATTTCTGTTTCAATAAATTATAAAAATAAATTAAATTTTATTTTTGTTAACAAATGAAAGAAAAATTATTAGAACGTCATAGGTTGTCCAATTTATTTCGACTTAGAATTATCAATTTTATATTTTCGAAAAAGTTTGTTATAGATAAAAGATAGATTAATTATAAGGAATAATTTATAGCAATCTCAATTCACGTATAGAAATTAAAATGGTCTTCGATTTTATAAAATATTCCATTGAAGTTGATTCCATTTTAGAAATAAGAATGAATCGAAGATATATTTTTAACAAACGAGATCACGATATTTTTGTGAACATCACTCGTGACATTTATTTAGTATTCTTTGATCTCACGAGAATTCTTTGCTAATAACTCTATGAAAGAGTAGTTATTAATAGTATTATTTGATTTTATTTCATCTACTTTTATTTTTGGTTGACCTCGTTGCAAAATACATCTCGTGGGAAGATAAAGATCATGTTAAAAAGTTCACCGAAATGTTGCATTATTCTTCATGTAGTTCAGAAATATATGATGAATTTCTTGAATTAAATCCGCCACACTCTGAATAATTTATATTTAACTATATTTAACTATAGACTAAAATGTGATATTATAATGAGTTCATATTCAAAATTGTTTAACTTTAAGAAAGAGATATCGGTATATATTAATAAAATTGAATTGAATGAATATAATTCGAAATGTTTGAGAATGTTTGGAAGAAATTTATATTTATATAAAAATAATCGAATAAATATGAGGAAAATTTTAAGTATTTGAACACGAAAGAGTTAAAATTTTCATTAAAAATATTCTGTATCGATTCAATCACAATGAATCATTTAATCCTATGCTAATTAAAATATAATATATATAAATCAAAACATAAAATATTCATGATATTTATAAAAGAAATAAAACTGATCATATTTTAGTTAGTTTTTTATTGAAGAAATCAAAAATAAATATTCATTTCCTATGTTAGTCACGTAAGAACGATATACCAGAAATACTGCATTATAAACTGTCGTCAATAATCTAATTTAAAAAAATTAATCATTAATCAAAAGAAAAAGAAAAGAAAAAAAAAAGAACCTCGCGCCAACTCACCACAACCTCCCTTCAAAGTACTCACTCACCTTCATCCTTCAAACTTCTTCTTCTGAAAACCTCTTCTCGCCAACTTTCTCATTAAAAACTCCCCAAAAAGAAGCTGTAAGAAGCAATGCAACGTATCGAACCTCTACTCGAAACCTCTACCCAGAAACCACAAAGAACACTATCATACATCAACCATCGTACAAGCTAAGCAGCCAGATTTACATTACACAAGGCGTTGTCACAAGGCGTATCGCGTATACCTCGCCAATAAAAAGTACCGAAAAATAAGAAGAAGAAAAAAAAAATAAATAAAGTAACGCATTAAGGCTTGGTGGTGCATTACGCGATGCCGTATTAATCCTGTCTGTACAAGAGGTCCAGAGGCGTTCGCACTTGCCATGTTTTTCGGTTCACCGACATAACTCACCATCCTTGTTCTTTTTGGAATTCCCCGGTTGGCCACACTACTGGCAGAGCGAATGTAACCGAGAAAGAGACGAGGAAAATGAGAGATAAAAATGGGGTTGAATGTAGGTGAGAAAGAAAGGAAGAGGAAAAATGAGAAGAAATGAAGACAGAAGAATAGAAGTGAATATAAGATAAAAATAGGTTGAAAAATAGAAACATAAGAAATAAAAATGAAAAGGGAATATAAAGAGGATAAGATCGAATGTGAGTGAATGAAATAGAAATGAAAAATGACATGTGATTCGGATAATTTTTAAAAATAATATATCGTAAATATTATTACTTTAAATGAATTTAAATAGAAATAATAATTAAACATGAGATTGATTAACATACTTTTTATAACAAAATTGCATAATTCTCATATACATTAAATTCCACATCATAAATAACAAGTAGCAAAGAGATCGGGACAGGAATAAGATCAAATGTAACCGGGAAACGGATAAAATGGAAAAACGAAAAAAAGATGGATACAGGAATGTAAATCTATCTCTAAAAGCGACATAAAGGAACGAAGACAGGAATACGAATCGAGGAAAGGAGATAGATATACATGCACCTGTTAAAAGTGTAAATCATATTCCATATTATAAATTATAAATAGCAGTGCGAATAAGATCGAGTGTTGAATAACCGAGGAACGAACTAAGAGAAGTGAGAAATATAAAAAGGAGAATATAAAAAGGAACCGAAGAAGTCGAAAAGAGGCGAAGAGGAAAAGGAGATGATGGGGAGGAATGCCAACGTAATCGAGACGAGGAGGAAAACGGAAAAGGAGAGTTAGAGATGCAAGTGGGGAAGGTGGAAGCG